AAAAAAAAAAAAAAAAAAAAAAAAAAAAAAATGCTGCTTTGAACTCAGAGGGTTAATATACTTTTGATTTGTAATTTTTTGTAAAACTTTTTACAAGGTAGCATAGTATTTCACCAGAATACCAACTACAATCCGTCCATGGTCTGATTTTTATATAATTTAGTGGTGCTTTAGAAACTTTTGTTTGGTTGTTTCGGAGCTGTACAGCTCAGTTCTTCGCCTGTATCTACCTAAGACCAATGTGAACCTTTGTATTTTTGCTCCTAATTTTGGACTCAGTGAAAGTGTACTGTTTACATGTACAGATCTCCCGGCCCCTGTCTGTTCTGCAAGACCTGCTGTTGAAGAGGAAGATGCACCTCACCCAGTTCGTCTGCTTAAGCAAGCCACAGCTTCACTCACCCACTGACACACGCACCCGCCCTAAGGAAGACCCCCACACACAAAATTGAAACGCCCTTTAAGCAATTTTGGGGTTTGCACAAGCTATTGGTTTTTTGTTTTTTTTTTTTTCTTTTTTTCCAGTAGCCGATGTACGGATCGGCTGCAGTTCGACCCGAAGCTGATCCAGAGGTCACTTCACTGGGGCACCAGAACTCCAACAGGCAGAGCCGCCCCGTGCTGCCGGTTCACCATCCTCCTCCTCCTCCTCCTCCTGCCCTCCCAGGCCGGGGGGGGATGCTGCCCAGCTCAGTGCAGGGCTTGACCAGCGCAGGGGAGCGCTCGGGCCAAGGAAGCGAGGGGGGAGGCACCCATCAGCCTGACGGGCCGTGGTGAGCCGGCCTGGTGCAAGCGGCTTGTGGGGAGGGTGGGAGCGTGTTCCCCCGGGAGGCGGGGGGCTCCAAATCGAGGCAGGAGTTGGCTCTTGGGGAAGCCGGCGCTTTCCCGGGGATCAGAGAGAAAGCATATGGCACTTAATCCAGCTTTTAAGGTGACACTTTATCGCTTAATCAATTGATTCGTTTTGAAATGATATTTTTGCAGATAGGCACCTATGCAACTTAATGTGGCTCTTAAGCAGATGAGCACTTCCTCCTCAACGAGCTTGATAAGAGTTATTTGTGTTATATACTGTGGATTTTTCCAGTAAATGTGGCTTAATATTTTAATTCTTAGAATGTGTGGAGTTTTCATTGAAGTTTGTGGAATGATTAGCACAGGCCAACTCCCTGTTCCCCTCACTTAACAAAGACCAATGAGCTGTTAATCAAGCTGTTATCTCCATGGTATTACTTGCTAAATGCACTGATTTCATAAGTATGTGGAATCCTTTTTTTTTTTTTTTTTTTTTTCTTTCGAATCTGTATATCATATATAAGACTGAATCTACTTAATAAACACTGTATAACAAGAAGGGCTTTCTCCTCCACTGTCGAGCACCGCTGGGTGCCGCTGGCCCCGGGCGCTGCCCCTCGCCCGCCGCCAGCCCGCGTCTGCTCCCCGGCCCACGCGCTGCCAGAGCTCAGCGCCACTGCTCACCAAAGCGGGATCCAAATTGAGGTGTTCAAAGAAAAAAAAAACCAAAACAAAAAACCCCCAGTCTTTCAAAACCGTTGACCTAAGCTGTGCTTTCCATTCCTTAACAGACAGCTGCGGGTACCATAGAGAGCAGCGTTAGCACTCACGAGTGGGGCTGGTCACAAATTTTATGCTTAACTTATATTTTGACAAAATTAATTTTGTGAAGTGTCTGTTTTTTGTGAAGAAAAAAAAAGAAAAAAAGAATAATGGAGTTTTCATTGAAGTTTGTGGAAAGTTCTCCCTCTCCCTCATGGAAAAATACTGATTTTTCGTTATCAGCTTTATTCACTAAGTATAATAAATCTTTGCATCCATAAAACGTTTATCTCAAAGCACTGTGTAGATGAAAATCTCCTGGTTTGCTCAGTGCCCGGCTGACCCTCAGCAGGACGGGTCAGCTGGGTTTGCAGTTGTGCTGGAAGCCGTTGCCTTCGGGGTGGGGGACGCCCCTCCCCACGTCCCTGAGCGGTGGCCGAAAGGACCCACCTGAACGTTCGCGCCTGTAAAGGGTCTCCCGGGGCGGCACATCCCGACCCGACCCGTCGGCAGGAGCCCACGTGCGGCGCCCGGAGGTGACACGCGGGTCCCGTGGCACAGGCAGGCGGAGCGCCTCCCGCGACGCCGGCGGGTTTAATAACATCAAGCCTCCGGGTCAGTTTTGCTCCCAGATTTGAGGCGGGGGAAGGAGACGGCCGCGTGCCGCGGGATCAGTCACACCCGCGTGTGAACACCCCCCCCCCCCCC